TATCGGATTCAACTTGCCAATTTATTTAAATAGAGTATCTCATTATTTAAGTGTTTTGTCAAGTTAAGGAATTGATATTTGTGTGAGAAACTAAAATGCTGCTTTTTTTTGGCGTATTTTTTTCGTAAGATGTCAAAGATGAAGTGAAGTATAAGCTTAGTATTGTACAGTAATATAGTCACACTAAAATATGGAGATTTTGTAACAATATAGTATTCTCTTTTAAGGCTTGCACGGCTGGTTGCTTGGTTGGAACAGACGATATCTAGTTCAAATTCTACCAACGAACAATATATTATAGCTATGAATTAATGCTGTAACCCGTTTTTATCGGCGCAACTAAAATTCTAGCTTGACTTATCAAGAAAGAAACGACTCTTAAGCAAGGAGATCTATCTCATTATTAAAGAATACAGTTCACTAGACACTGTACAATACGTTTAATTCAATAACTCAACAGTATCTGATGTTACTTCAACTTATTGTGTTAAATTTACACTACGGACATTTTTCAGAAAAAAATACTAGTCTCATGAAAGGATCCAACAATTCAACCGCTTCTACACAACTGCCAGTCTCGCTAAGTGGATCCGGCAGCAACAAATTACATCCGACCAACTGACGCTGTGCAAGGTTCTGGACCCTATGGAACCCTACATGGACTACGAGCACTTTTATCATGCGTTGAACACTGCAGTGGTGGGCATCGGTGTGATCAATATAGTGTACATGCTAACAATACACACATTTACGATTAGTATTGTTTCAGAACTTGAGGTTTATACTAAATAAATAACCTAAAGTCTGATAAACAACGTAAACTTCACCATTTAACAGCTATTTGCAAATAAGATGGATTTTTATGAGGCCAATAGCTCTCACGGTGGATAGATGGAATAGTACAATAGGGACACAAAGTCAATTTACGACGGAACATTGCAACAGTAAAGACGTAGAATTGCTCATAAAGTGGTGCAGTTATCTTCAGTCGTTGGTTTTTACCGACGTGTCACTCAAATGCTTAGGTTTTATTTCGATAATGCGGTGTATAATACTGCAGTAGCTCTTTCCCTTTGGGACGAGATTCTTATCATATTTTTGCCTTAAATATGAATATGAGTGATACATAAATAAACTGATGTCATCACGGTTTAATGTGTAAACAATAAACCATGTACGAAGTTTCCTTTGGATTCACTTTAGTAGTTCGTATTTACGTTAATGTATGTTAACAGGCATGTTGTTAGTACTCCCTATTCGTCCGAAGTTAGGTCATTGGTAAGCTCAGATCACAATATGATTTCTGTAACATTAATTGTTTTTAGTTTGGTTAACTTGTGAGTGAACTAGATAGTTTATAAATGTTAATTGTTCAGATCCATAATTTAAATGCCGTGGTTTCGTTGTCATACTTTTATTATCAATGACCAGACCTTCCAGCCGGGCGGGGCTGCATCCGGCGCCTACCCTCTATCTACCACAGTCGTGATCAGAGATATTCGGAATTTTGGACATGTGCTCAAAACATTAAACTTTTTGTTCCTTATGACATTATGTTTTGAAATATATAATTTTGTCTCTGCGTGTAAAATTATCGTATCGATTGGTTTTCCGAATAGTTAGTTCGTACATAAGTGAATTTTAGTAAATTTATTTAGTCCTTGCCTGTGTTAGCAACCTAACCATATTCATCGCTCTTCTGTAGCTTTTTGTTGTACAATTACAATTTCAAACATGCAATTTAGAGAACCAAATTGATATCTTTCAGCAAGTTAGTTTTAGTCAGATTTTTTTAATGTCGTTTAAATTATATGATTGTATTTATATTATGAAGGAAAGTATTTAGTTTAGTAACTGTAGCAGTTTGTAATTGTGGTTGATCTGCCCAATGTTTATCAGAAATATAGAAATGTACATAGGAACCTTTCTTTCTTCCAATAATTGTCATGAATCTTAATTTTAGTTATGAAGTGTTGTCGAGTCATTTGAGAACAACTGTCGTCCTGAATATTCATAAGTAAACGAACTTAGACTGTTTGAAGTGTAAAACGACGTAGTGTTAACCTAGGTTTCATATAAATTAACAAAAATAATTAAAAAATAATTTTTTTCGGGCAAAAGTTTGGGACTTAACAGTCTACAAATACTGTAAGCTAGGAGTTTCAAAATGTGGCATAATTGGTATACAAAATTAACAACAAAAAATGAATATTGTAGCATAGGGCTTAAGTTAATTATTTACTTATTGATGTTAAATAGATCAATAATTTTGCTCATATAGTACCAAGCGCCTAGTAATTGCCTAAAATACTAAGTATTAAGCGTACAAATGTTGACAAAATATGACTTTTATCGTTCAAAAACAAATCAATCAAACCATAAATCATATATTAAAAAAAAACGTGTTAATAATTTTAAGTTTCAAAATTTTCGTATAGAGTCATTGTCTTCTAAAATAAAACACCAGTTAATTGATTCATAACCGATGTAACTTCTAACACGAATTATTTGATTTAGAAAAAGAACGTCAGATTGGCTGAGGAAACACTCCACTACTTGCTGATCAAATAAATAATAGGCAATCTCAACAGAATTTTCAAAGACGTAGTTCGCCTAATAATATTGATTGTACAGACATAATTGAGAAAAGATAACTACGCTACTTATATAAAGAAATCTAACATATAAAGTGCAAAATATTTATGTAAGGCAGATACGTTTAAGGTAAAAATGTTAAAAAACCAACAGAATAAATCCATACACCCATAAATTAATATTTATCACACGGATAACGTCACAACAGATTTTGGGTTCTTATAAATTTATGATGGTGCAATAATGTTCGACAAAGTTTAATGGGTTTTGAAACTTTAAACAATAAAAAGGTCGATATAATGTCGAAGAACACTTAAATAGGGGATACTGCCGACATTGATGGCGGTATCAAACTAGTTAACGGCGCCGCGGTCATTTTATACCGTCGTAACATCGGTCAGCCTAGCCGTGCCCGGCAGACGGTTCTGACGGATCACTGCTGATTATAATAAGGCTGACTCTGATTTTGAACCTTAATTTTAAATTTATTGCTTGATTCTTTCCGTAGTGATTCTTTTCTGTCATATATTTATTGATAAATGTGATTATGAATTCCTGGAAAAACCTCTCAACTACCTATTTTTTTCTTACAGGGATAAAAGTTTAAAAATCCAGAATACTATTTTTAAATCGAACGGTATGTAGGTATAGCATAAGCGCGAATAAATCGTGAATGTGTCTCAAAATAAACATTAATGTTAGAAAGCGTTGTTAAACCAACCACGATTTACCTACCCTAATAGTTAACAGATGTTAGCCCAAAGTATTCCAATTCAAAACGTAGGTATTTAAATAATTTCAGGGACAAACTTCTGTATAAAAAACCTTTTAATTTAAAACTTTTCCATCGAACTTTATTTACTAGAATCGGGGCTTTAATTTGCATTCATTTTAAATAAATAATGAGAGGCAAGGTAGGCAATTAATATTCATTGAAATCATTGAGAAACTTTCCGTGTTGTTTCGTTTAAACTTTAGAATGAAGCGAGAATGCACTGAGTTGAGTAGTCTGTTTTGTTATGTATTTATGCGTCTTTGTACATTCGTTGCGTCGTTTTCTCAAAGTAAATTAAATAAAGAAGTGTTTAATTTACAAGGATCTACAAGGATTTTACATCCTATAAAGTGTTGAAATATTACTTGTAATGTCTTTTAGTTTTACATACGATTGTTAAAACAGATACTATGCAGTTCATTAATATTAAAACACTACCGACAAGTAGACATTCAATTTTATATTTATAATTTCACCCCGTCCCTTAATTTTACCAGAATGGTATTGGAAACTTTCTGCTAACTGTTCAGCAACTTTTAGCTAAAACTATCTTCAACTGGTACGTATAGAGGGCATTACGTAGTGCAGAATCCGAAGATACCAGTTGTACATTGTCAGTCTACATTATGTAGTACAGAATCCAAAGATACCAGTTGTACATTGTCGGTCTACTTTATGTAGTACAGAATCCAAAGATACCAGTTGTACATTGTCAGTCTACTTTATGTAAATACAGAACCCAAAGATACCAGTTGTACATTGTCAGTCTACTTGATGTAAATACAGAACCCAAAGATACCAGTTGTACATTGTCAGTCTACTTTATGTAAATACAGAACCCAAAGATACCAGTTGTACATTGTCAGTCTACAATTCTATGATAATTAAAAATTCCTGTTTATTGGCACTTTCTTAGTTGGTGGTAAACTTAAGAGAATGAGTTATAATCGAATGCAACCATAAACGCCACGACCACCTTCACAGAGACTCTTTTGCGTTATAAATGTATTGTAAATTATATAAAATGATCTGTCAAATTTAAGTGTATAATATTTTGAGGGTAATTGTGTACATATTTGCATAGCACAAAACCCGGATCTTCGTCTAAGGCGGTAAAATTTAAAGATTAATGGTCGTGTTATGATATTGTGTGACAGTTGACATAATAAACGGAGTATTCAGCTTATTTATCAGCTGAACACACACATTACATTAAAATTACAATGTAGATTTACAAATGTGTTTCCCTGAACCTAGCCACAGTCGATGTAATTCCTGGTTGGTGGTGGGGACGGGGAAGGAAGGTGTTATTTGGAAGACCCGCGGGCTGATCGCCTCATAAAGAAAGACTCGGAGACGTTCCATTTCGTCGCAGCGTTCCCATTTAATTGCGGTCCCACACTTTACGCGGATCATAACGATCCCGCCAAATTACAACCAGGATTCTAACTAATCACACACTCCACCCACGCTCTGATTGCTCAGGCTAAACGTTCTTGTCATCACCAAAATGTTGGTATATATAAAAGTAGGTTTTTGTATAAGTGAAAGTGCAAATTACATATGTGTTTGGCATGTTTTAGGTACAGCTAAAATGTCTTAGGTAAACAGTAAATAGTTAGATACTTACAAATTAAAATATGAGTTGGTCTTGATGGTCGTTCCTGAAAAAGAGAAAAAATATTGTATGAAAAAGGCTGGTTCAATGTTTAAATTTATACGTATGGACTATGTTAAACTATTGGATGATGATTGCTGATTAGTGATACAACATAGGAACTGCAATACAAGTAATATGGAACAAATAAAATCAGCATCGTTGTCACGTAGGCAGCAGCATCGACGAGAGCACGAACCAGCTAGCAGTCGACGGGATTCCCATTTATTGATGGGCACCAGACAACTGCGGCTAAATGGAAGACACGCGATACAATAATTGTCGATGTTGGAGTGAGGAAGTTTATTTCTTTGATATAGTATATCATTTTAATAGGTCCTGGTGTAGTTTGAATAGACAATCTATCTTCCTAACACACAATAAAATGAACATTTTTAAATTTTATACTATTAGGATTATTTTAAATACATGAGTTGACACGTTGTTTCCAACTCAAAACCCCACCCCTCTCACACACGCAACTGCCTTTTCACATGATAAAAAATTTTCAAATCAATTGGGGTAATGCAATACATAAAATACAAATTAATAAAGTTTTTATTAATTTGTTATTTTAACACTGACACATTCATATACAACAACATTCATGTATAATACTTATACTGTTCGGCTTGATACGTGATGGGGTTTTTTCTACTATACTATGGATGGACAAATTTTAAAATTGTTACAGTTTACATAAATGTTATTAATATATTTTAAATTATATCTTTTGTATATATATGTTATAAAAATATAAAAAGGCATTAAGAAAGTTTTTAAAACGTGTTGTTCTAATTCCATCTCGTCTATTATGCCTGAATCCACATCTAAATAATGTGCTTTTGTGTTGTACAAAATTGTGAGGTGGTGCTGTGATTTGTGTGATGCTAATTCGACAATCTGCTTAGTAGCCAGCGAGGCGTACATGTATACAAGTGTGAGTGTGTGGTGACCTGTGTGTGTGTGTGTGTTTGAGAGAGAGAGAGAGAGTGAGAGAGTCTGAAGGGGTGAGGAGAGGGTAAAGGCGCGGCATGATCCTCCAGGATTTGATAAGGAAAGTGAACGCGTTATTTGTTATCACAGCTCTACTCAATACTGCTATTCTACCATTACGCGTAAGCCGTACACGCCGAACACTTGTAATCTGTAAAGTATATTTTGTATAGTAACATGGAGTGTTTCATATAAAACATCTAAGTTTCAATTATTTACTGGTGTTTCCTTGGAATAGGCTACTGATGAAACATTGTTTCTTGATTGAATACTAAATGAAATATTGTCCAATTCAGGATGGATCAGTTTAAGGATCAATTAAATTCGAACCAAGCTAAAAAAAACATTTGATAAAATCAAACTCGTCAATTACTCTGTTAAATTAAAATAAAAAAAAGGTGCATTTGTGGAGTTTATTTTTTCAACGGAATTAATCGTTACATGCCTCCGAATTTTTTTTTTAATATCGCTAAAACATTATCCTCAATATATTTTGGTTTTTTGGTTTTATAGCCAAAATATATGTATTTGTTTTTAAATTAATATATTCTAGAACTCGAAGAATAGCTCTAGAGAAAACCTGATGATACCAACGAGCACATGGATGATACCGCTCCGAAGTAAGATATACGACAACCAAAAGCTACCCTTAGGAACGAGATAAGCGGGGATTATGTCATTAATTATGCAGCCTGTCGCGAGAGACGTTCACCAGTATGATCTTGTGATTTATTATGGCAGAATATATCAGTTAGCATTTACATCTTCATCTCCCCGTTCCCAGTAGACGGTCCTAAAACTTACAATCTCTAAACGAACAATCGTCCACAGATATCCTAGTAACAAGAAAATTGCTTAGCTACGATTCACATGTTGAATGTGCGAAATGTTATTGAAATAAAGAAAAAACATTTTCTTTAATCTCAATACTTGAGAATATCCGGATAAAAGAAGTGCATATAAATATGGACTTTCCACAGGGTGCTATAAAACCAAGCATGACTTACAAAGATATCTGAAAATTTGAATTTATACCAAAATTACTGTTTGGATCTTCTGCTAGTCAATGGTTAGGACCTTAAATTGTACCTTAGAGTACATATTAGAGGGATAGTCAAAACTCTTTGGTCAAAATAAATGCCAGCCATTTACAAATAATTCTAGTTCTTGCCAATGAGAACTAAAAATCTGTAATTTAAGACTTTCATACGTTTTTAATATACTCGTAACTGTACTGTGTACGAGCAGCTGTAAACTAAATTAGAACAAATCGGTGGTGGAAAAGGTAGTATTAGAATAAGCCAGTTTCCTTAAAAAGTAATTTCCTTCATAGCTTTCTGAGAGGGCGAGATCGCGTTCAGTAAATAATGATAATATCTACTGAGCACATCGGTAAATCCCGCTGCTCCCCTCTTGCTCGACATTTGAAACTCTTTCGCTTTAGTGTAATCATCGAGAGGTTAACTAACTCGTTTGATAAAAAAATACTTCTAAGTAACGTTTCAACTTATAACATCTTGCCGTACTTTATACATAAAAAACAACTAAATTTTACACGTTATATAACAGATATGAATTACATTTTTTTCTTTAGGTAATCAAAATATTATCAAGGCTTAACAGAACCAGGATGAAAATGTGCAGGTGATACAAGCAAGTGACTAAACGAAAAGCTCCGTGTCTCCTGCACTGTCAAACCTGTCGGCGTTCCATAACTCTTGTGCAGGCGTTATAACCGTCTAAATTTACGGCTTGATTGTATTGGCTTTGGGATATTGTGTCGCAGTTGTACTGCAGTTATTTATAATGGGATTGCGACCGGACTAAGAGTTATTTTAAAGAATTATATAAGATAAATTGAATTAAATAAGTAATTTTAGCACATATAATTTGATAGGGGTTTCACACTTGCTAAGCTTATTAATATATTCAGAGACGTGGTCTGTATTAAGAGCGTGTCCTTATTTGGTTTCATTCGTGTGTGGTGATATTGCCAAAAAAAGTAGCCGTGTAACGATAAATGTGTACACTGTAGCTGAGTGGTTAAAGTGCTCAGGTCGCCCGTATGATCCTGAGATAAGTTAGGGGCTTTTTTGTTCGAAATTGGACCCAAGTTGTCGTGGCTCTTAATCTGTAACAAGACTACGAAAGGTTTCTCATTCCATTCTACACTCATATTTTGGTCAAAATACACACCTTCACTATGGTTTGGTGACATCCCGGTCTCTCTTTCACATGAAGACTTATTGTTGAAAAATAAATGCCGGATTTTAATATTTTTAGATTACTATAAGGCTACACACAAATATTTAAAAAACTACTGTATTGCAAAACAAAATCTGTAATCTTTTATTGTAATTATATTGTTGTGAGAACCCTAATTTAGAACATGATGTTGCTGCTCTTTAGCTTTTGCAAAGACAGATTTTTGTGCAAAAAGGGCTATACGTAGCTTGTATCTGCTTGACCTATCTCACAGCTGAAGTAAATCTCCGGATTCAAGCTCATAGGGAGGACTTGCGTCATAGAAATCCTACCCAGCAAACAGCATTGATGAGAGTTTTTGATTGTAGATTGTAATGGAAGATCATTTACTTGATAGGGTTAGATAGGTTGAATAGGGTTGGATAGGGTTTGACAGGGTTATCAGGATTGATATAGGATTAATAATAGGAATCAGTGATTTGATTTGACGATCCTTCGTTTAGCTTAATTTATTAAATTTATACAAATGGATATTTTATATAAATAAGACAAAAATATGATTTTATGTAAACTAGTTGTATGAATCAAAATTGTTTACTTTATGCTTACAGTACTCGTATACAAGTCAATCTGAGCAATATTCATTTGGTTTCGAAAAAGCTTTTATAGATTTTTTTGTCTCAAAATACGATGAGTTAGGTGGGTGGAATGCAGTCTGGTGGTAGAATTTAGTTTTGTGGTAGAATACATGCTTTTAGCTCCCGAAGTCTCAGGTTTAAAACCCGCAAGTCGCCAATGAATTTTATCTATGTGATGACGCCGTGACGCTCCAAGCCTAGAAGTAATGTACAAACGGTACTGGGATCAAGCCTAACGTCCTAGGATGAGGAGGCTGGGTCTTAGAATACATATTTTGAGGTACTGGACATGGAGCACGCTTGATACAACAACTACCTTTCACGTCGTCACTGCTTTCCCGTCTCAGCGGTGACTTACCCAAATCTTTATATCCACAAGTAAAAAAAAAATTACAAATCATTTTTTTTTAATGAACCCAATTTTCCTATTACAAAAAACTATAATAGAATCTTACTATACTGAACAAACTGCATTCAATTAATACAGTCTAGGATCAAATAACTGAACTTCTCTCTTACGTCCACTAAAACATTTCTTCAGTTCATTTGTTGATTGTTTTATCTCAGCTCGAGGTTGACATTGTCATTGCCTCATTACTTTAGTGGCAGCACTCTCACACCAGGGCGTGACTGTATCGTTGTCTGCTCACACAAACAGGTCAAGTGACCTTGACTCTAATTGTAGGTCCATGCAGTGCACGTAATGACACTTCCGCTCACTTCCCACGCTTCGCCATCCCCCCCCCCCTCCACCACAAACTGTCAAAACACTCTGTGATTTATGAAAAAACAATATGTCAAATATTGTGGGAAAAATATAAGTGACCTTTTTGTCTCCCTAACTCTTGGAGACATTTTAAGACTATATGATTTTCGCAGATTTCCACATTTAAAAAGGCTATCATAACCACCAATGTAAGGCAAACTAATAACTGCTCCTGTTTTATTTAGGATCCCCAGTAGCTGTAAACAAAGATTGCTTAAACTTCTATACATAGTTCCTCTATAAAAACATTTATCATAATTTAATTCAGATTAAAAGACAAACAATCTTGTACACTTAAACCCTAAGCTATTAAAAAGATATATTACGTGGTTGATACAGAAAGCATATTAACATTTTACGTTATTAAGATTCTTCATAAAATTTGGTCAACGATCTTTATTATTTTTTTTCAAACAACTTTTTGAAAACTTCAGACGAAAACCCTCAGTACCCCTAAGTCGAATGGTAAGTGCTCGCCTTCAAATCCAAAGTTTGCTGATTCAATTTCCTGAGTGGGATCGTTTCTGCACTTAGATCTAACAAAATGTCGACGTTAGATAATAACAAAGCCATATCACGTCCCATTTCCTTAAAAGGTCACCTACAAGAACAAATGAATGTCATAAATAAAACAAAATCTATCACGTTATCACTTAATGACCTACTGTATAAAGGTGTCATGAAAGGAAGGTATACAATGGAGAGTAGGGTGGTGGTATTCTCGATCCATAAGGGCGCAGTTTGATACACATATTAGAGTAAAGACAAATAGGATATCCTTGCACTAGTGATGAGTGCATATTATATGAGTGATTATATGGCAATAATGCCTCCATAGCAGGACCCGCTAAAATCATTAGAGATATTTCGTTGCATAAATATCTCTAATAAAAAACTGATCGTGCAGCTCAGGTTCCGTAATTGGCTATTCAACATGTTAATCAATATGAACGCGCTACGGTGGCCCACTCATAATTACTTTTTAATCGATATTGAAATCTAATTACATTTTATGAAGGTGTTTTTTATAGTTTAAAAAAATATTGATTTAATTTTAGCAAATTCAAAGAGAAATTTAGCTATCGACCCCACCCCTTGTTAGTCTTTTCAACGAAAGTACAAAATGGTTTTTCAAAAGAACTACGAACGTTAAATAATTTAAGTTACTATAAAATTTACAACGTTGCTCTACCTAAAGTTTCGATTGATTTACTACAGTATTATCTTGTGGATTAAAACATGACTGAGTTCTTTCAAATATTGATTAGTCCGATTTAACGGTCTGATTACAGATCCCAACTCTACATAAAAAAAAACACAACACACACTAATGCTAATACATATTGATATTTGTAAAACCTCATTCTGGTTATAGTTTGATTAATTGTTCATTATCTACTACTAACTACACTAACAGAAAACAGTATTTAAATATCTTCGTTGCCAACACACAGCAACAGACTAATGAAATGTCAACGTCGTATGAATGCAAGTTTTATCAGAGAGTTGTGATAAGAGGAAATGAAAACATCAACCAATACAGTGACGTAACGAATCAGCCAACACTGAATAGAAGCTGTTTTGATTTGTGATTTTTCATTAAGGGTTTTATGGATATATTTTAAATCCTCCTGTGTAAAAACACTTTAGAGCTTATCGATTTCCAACTCATACCATTGACTGTATCATTCATGCTGTGTATATAGTTAACACTTATATTTGTTAGTCTTACGATTTGTTTTGTATATTCCATAAATTGCAAAAAAAAATTTATAATATTATATATTTTTTTTTTTTTTTGCAACTCACATATATTTTTATATGATTTTACACAAATTAGAGGCTTCATGTTAGAGTAATAGATCGAAAACTTATATTAATAAGATACACCTCCTTCCGGGGTGGGGATATTTAATCAGTTTGGCAATTTTAAAACGTAAAATCGCTCATTAAACTTACGTACGATACATGAGTATGAACAGATTTTAGAGTCACTATGGATCGTTTTAGTTATAACATGCTGCAAGTTTAATGATAAACTAATATCATCTTGTAATGTAATCTATTATCATCTTAAATGACCCGACCCATTAAACCATTTTGATGGAAAGTTCTGGATTTTTGATAATATTTTATGCAGTTTACTGAGTATTATTATAAACATTTCATAAATTAAAATGTAATCCTACTGTTTGTTCTGTCAGTCAATTTTCAAAACTAGATTTCAATGACACTGTCTATGGGTTGGTACTTTTCTTTGTTTATTAATTAAATATGAGATTTTAATAAAACCCATATTACTTTAATTTGGGAATTACAAATAAATAGTGAAAATATACCTATTTTTAATATCAATAATCAAAACGTAAATTAATATTATTTCTAAAAATATATGCAATAGGTCTAATACCTTTTTACTGTAATTTGTATTGTTTTAACACCTATCAAGTACAAGAACAATCAATAAACAACCCCCTCTTTTAATATTTTAATTTTATAAACCTTTTAGGTTAAGCTGCAAAACAGTATACGTTGCTATTTTGTATTTCAAGACTTAATGTATTAAACATTAACACATCTTTTAATGTGTGAATTCTTGAGTAAAAAATGAAATACGAGTAGTTCATCATTATGATTATAATGCATTACCTCTACTTTCATAAATAACACAATATTGTAAGAATATTACCTAGTTTGTGTCTTGATCGTCGGGTGAAGAGTTATTTTAAAACAATACACAACGTAGTCTCAAAAATTCAATAATGAAAATACGAAAGCAGGCACTAGCACAGACTTGACACACTTCGACTGTCCTGGTTGGCACGCACTGCCAATCTGACTGAGAATCCCAATAATCAGCTGACAGCGCCACTGCAGGCTTGCCAACCGAGTTCCGCAAACGCTAAATTTCCCTAAAACGAGCGTTTATTTCATGACGATTTTCTGACTGTTGTATAATTATAGTCTAAATGGTTCTCGACGATATCTTAGTTTGTAGTTAGAAAATAATATATATATTTTGTTCGATAAATCGTGTGCCCCTGTCAGTTGGAACTTTTTAACACGTGTAATGTAATAACAGATTTTCTGAAATGTAGTTTTTTAACGAGGTAAAAACATGGTTTTTCCGTTTTTGATAGTGATATTATATACATGTACAGTATAAAATAACAAGCAGCGATCTTTGTACTACGGCCAATGTTTTTCCATAAACAAAACTGTTTCTTACAATTAGCAAGTTTTCGCGATACGAGTTAAGCAGACTACTATGGTAATATTGAATATTTAGTCTTAATACAATAGGCTTAAATGTTGTTCTGTAGACGAATAAGATTAAGAATTAACATCAAGCTCAACGTTAAATAAACTAAACCAACCAACTAAATAAAACGCAAGCTCTTTTGTCAACATTTAAAATTACTGAATCGCTAACTTTTATCCTTAATGCGGAGTTGACTTTTCGTTTTGATTTCAGCTTTCAACTGGAAAACATTCTTTCCTGGCAGTGAATCATTCGTACAAACATTTGTTAATTGATTCACACGTTACACATTTATCCAGGAATAGTACTTACTAGTAATAGTTAGTTTTTAATGTATAGGTAGGATAAGAACGGCAGACAATCTAATCAAACATTAAACATTGGAAAATCGGATTAACTGGACATTGATATTTGTGACTGGGTTTGTGTTAGTCGAGTGGATGTTTTTCAGTACGAGATAAACTGGTTCAGTTCCAGGCTTATCATAAACCATTCGAGAGGTTAAAACTGCTTCATCTAAAAACACTTGAGTTTCTCGTCTAATAAAATTCCACTGACGTTACGTAACAATTAAGGCAACTGAATGGTTTGTTTGACAAATAAAATAATACCATGACACCCATCTATATGGTTTACACATCGGCTCCGTTTGCCGATGATAATAAACGTAATATAAACGTAATATTAACTTGATTTGCTTCTGTAGCATTGTTAAATTTGTTACTGGTCTGTACAATAGTGGAAATTGACATTTAAAGATAGATAATTACCACTTTGTCCACAAACTACATGCTACAAGAGCTCGTTTTCTTTTTTTGCCTTGCTAAGTGCTACGTATATTACTCTTGTAGGCGTCAATGTGTTGTGCTATTACAAAAACAATATGTAGTGCTGGTCAGTTCTTTGACTAGACACTATTATGTTACATTGACAGGGTTAGCCTTTATTTCTGTGGCCATTAAAAAAACTCCCTATTGGTTCACCGCAGAAGCAAGTCGGTCACTCTTAATGTTGATTTTATTAGCCTTATAATGAGCACTAGTTAGAATCACAATGTTTGTAAGACCAGGAAGATATCTCGAGTGCGTAACATAAGTAAATAAGAGCAAATTTAATTCAAAATGTGCGTACCTTGAAAGGTGGGCGTTGTGTTGAAAGTTGACCGTTTGTGTGTGTGTTAGAAACCAACCATCGGAACAATTTTAAATCTTTGGCACTAAATTTGTTAAATGAAAAAATTATATCTTTATTATACAATGAAATATCATACTGTGGTAATAGAACTATACTGCAACTAATCAGTTAAATGAGGATTGTTTTGTCTAAAAACTAAATTAAAAATATTGTTTCGATTAATTTAAATATAAATTTAAAAATAAATTTACAAGATAAATAGAGGTCAGAGGCATATCCCCGTTTTATCACTCATCTCATTTTAATCCAACTCTTAATCAAAAATCCCATTTTTTTGTATAAAATCCCACTTGTGGTAACACTGGACAGGCACTGCCATTACCATATAACAAAACCTCATGGGCCAAGAACCAGGCAACCCAAAGACAGAAAAGAAAATGCAATTGTGTATTATTTCTTAATCTGCTTTTACAGTTAAGTATTGCTGCCATAAACTCTGATTCATAATAAGTGCCTGCCACAGACCGCCTTAGAGTATCAGAAATAAATGCATTTGAATTTGAACACAAATGGGATAAAAATATTAGAGAGATTAAAGTTGGCAATGGGTAGTTAGAAATATGTTTCTCGATGATCAGACCCTTTACCAACAATCTTACCACAATTCAAATCCATAGAAGAGCCTGAAATTTCGAAAAACATAAAAAAAAGAATTATAAGGATAATGTTGCACTAAATAAAAACATAGTATACATAAATAAAAAAAATATCAACCGCATACATAACTTTTTTGTCATCTTGAGTTAGAATACTATAAATTTAGGTTAGCGGGAAAAAAATATTTGCCAAAAAGTACATGACACCACTAAATAGTCCACAAGATTTCCATTTGATATCTTCATTTTTATTGAATACTGTTCTCTGTGGAGATGAACTGTTCAATACCAGCGTTGTCCTCACATTACACTGCAATGGCACTCTTCATACCACGCTAGGTAATTTGAAAGTTAAATTATAATCATATCTTACCCATGGCACAGTTCACGTTTTATTCTCTTTCGTTGGTTTATTAAAAAGTACTTAATCCGCTTGAATTATACTTGAAAATAACATGCGAAAGCACTTTTTAAATCATAAAATTTATACTTCGGTGGTACTTTCATATTTTTACAGATTACTATCATTTTAACTATCAAATTATTCACAAAATTCTTCAGGTTCACAGAAATAAACATACCGTATAAAGGAAACGAAAAGTTAGTGATAACAGATTTCCAAGGTGTATCCTTGATATTTTTTTACAAAGTGATTAGTTTAAAGTAAAAGAAATGTAGTTTTGAGTAGGACGGCCAGAAAATAGTGACCCACACAACACATAACCCCGGTAGTATATAACAATTAACCAGCCCCATCTGCACGTATCTTTAGCCAGTTAAGGCTGAAACCTTTGCTCTTTGCTACATATACAAAAGTAAAACTTTGAGGATTTTACCAAGTATTAAACTTTCATCCTATAGTGTGCACATGCGAACTCCCTGTAAAATGCTGCGTTTGTTTCTTAGTTCAATCAAATAGAAAATGCTCGTGTTTTCTGTCTTTTTGCCTATGTGTTCTTTACCAATAAGAGCTACATGACATACAATAATTTTGTAAAAATATATGATATATGCATTTGTGAGGTAATTCTTTTTAAGGGATTTAAAATATATTAATTTTGACTGCTATTTTGAATTTGTTCACAGAAGAAATTTAATACTTGGTGTAAGTTTAGGTGCTAACCATCATTACACATGTAATAAACTAGCAGTTAATCGTTAAATTTGTTACACAGTTATAGATATAATTTTAAAAGTAGCTGTCGACATAAAACCAACCATTTTAGACTCATAATTATTTAAGGTCAAAACAACTCCCTAAAAAGCCTTCTGAAAAAATGGTTAAAATGTTTCTGAATTTCATTTAAATATTTAAGTTATAAAATGCAGACATGGTTGACTATTTGTTACAGGGTTTCTGAAATACTAATTCTTGAAACAAAAAACACGCAGATAAAGGATAACCAATCGCGAAATCGCCGAATGATACTAAACATACTTCACTTGTATGTCTTTAAGTTGTTTTTTACGAAAATCTAATATTAAAATCATTTTTTTGTTTCAATGCTGCATCTTGTACAATGTACGTTTAAAGCTACATGTTTTTCCCCCTAATTAAATATTCTTTTATGTATTTCAAGTCAATAAACGTTGCTGCTTAAAAATCTTTGTTTCAGAATTTAAATTTAACGTATCACTTACGTTGCAGATGCAAAAGTTGATAGTCGATAAAAGACGATGTGCAGAAAGTGAGCTACGGATGAGACTTGGACCCTGTCGGGGAGCTTAGCGGTTATTAATTATCTTGTTGGAGACGTGATGATGGATCACTGTTTGTGGACCTACAATCTTCCCAACCTGCTTCCTCTTTAAACGGAACTTTCAACCAAGCACTATCGTCTATTTAGAATTTGAAATACTGAAACTATACTTAATGTCCAATATTGTATTTAAGTTTATAGTTTTGTTATATGCTTATCATGTAAGTCAAAATACTACACCATATGCATCACATATGCACCAAAAATATGTTTATTTGTATTATTTAATTTGTCATATTTTTATGGATTTCCATAAAAAAAATTGTATATACAGGGTGTCCGGTCATAAGTGTTAAATAAAATTGTGCATTAAACTACATGGTAATGGTGACAGAATGTCGCAAATTTAAGGTTCCCAACTTCAACAGTTAGAGAATAACAAATAAATTAAGATTTTTCAAAAATGTTTGTAGTTGTTGTGAAAAAGGTTATTTTACTCTATTAAAAATGCACTTACTGTCAGTTTCAATGTCATTTTCAGAATCCTCACAAAATTTTAAATAAATATAACACATAATCGTTGGGGTACGTAAAAATATTCTATTTAAAATTCTTCGTTAAACAAATTATTTTTATATCGACGAAAATGTAAATAACATACAGCAATTTATTTCTCGGTTGTTGAGTTCCGGTGAGGTTATCAAATATGACTAAAAACTTCCTTATTTAAAGGGCTTTACAATGATGTATAACAACACTTACCTACTGTCAAATCCATGGTGAATTTTACGCACTATTGTGAAAAATCACGGTCAAGCCAAAACAGATATTGTAAAAAATAATAAAATTTTACTTACTATTTTATGAGCTGACCACTGATGATGAGGGTATGTATAATTTATGATTGACCAGACTACACTTCCATCAAACTAAAGAGTTTTTTTAAGACTTTGAAAAATTTGTAATTAAAAAACACAACACATTAGTAAAAACATAATACACACTACAATTTAAATATGAAATGATAGTTAACCCATTAAACAAATCAATGACATACTTTGTCCGAAGCACAAATC